TTTGCAGAAGTGATGGACCCAGCGTAATTTTGGTAGTGACTAGTTTTTCAAGACGCCAGTCTCCCACAAATGCTTTTGCAGTTCCATTATTTTGTAGAAAGAGACAACTTCAGATTTACAATTAGCAAAAAAATTCTGGTGTCTCAATTTTTCTGCTCAAATCCAGTACCATTTTATTTTCCATGCAACAGCTTTCTTTGTAAATATTTTGATGTCAGGTTCTTGGCGTAACAGGAAAATCAAGAATTGTGAAGTTCAGCTACTTTAGCATGTGATTTATCTTTTCAAAAACAAATCAAGCCTTGTGCCACAAGAATCACTGAAAGGTAACTTCAGAATTGTTAAACTTACTAGTTTACTAGTTAAACCACAACAAAAATTAAAACTAGAGGTTCTTGTGAAAATAAGCATGTCATGAAGACTCACATTTGACAGGAATAAAACATATTTATGAAAGACTTCAAAAGCTTTAGAGTTTTAAAATCTACCTGGAAATCTGATACAAACCAGATCAGATTAAAGGTACCTGAAAATTCAGAGTAATACAATATGGAAGCAATTGCATTAGTATATAGTTCTAGAACCAACTTAAAAAATAAATTATGCTTGCGATATTAACAATAAATTTCAAGGCAGGGAGGGAGATGGACATGGAAATACTCAAATGTATGTTTCTATGAAATATTTCGAACTGCTTTGTGACAAACAGGCAAGAAAAACACTTTCATCCAAAACTACTGTGAGCTCCCAACTGCAGCTCTCTGAGGGTGTCCCTTGGTAGGCACATGTCAAGTTGACCGTGGGCTGCCAAACCACAACCTAAACTCCATAGTGTGTGAAACCGAATCAGGCCCTTAAAAATGTCATCATGTAGTTTTTTACATATTTTTATTTGTCAGCAATGGAAAGAAAAAAGGAAAATAAGAGTACACATAAATTATATGCACAGGTATTGGACTAGAAACAACTCCAACACAAGTTACAGAAGACGCAAAATTAAAACATCACCAAGTAATTTCATGAAAAATTAGCTTCCCACTCCTCCATTATAGGTTCAGTTGATTCAAATGATGCCACCACAGAGGAAATGCAACACGAGACCTCCTTCCCTCTTGGATGCCTGGTGCAGCACAGGCCAGCTCACCAGTAGGAGTTCTGTCCCATAACCGACGTTGGGAACAAATTGACTTGATTTCCACCCATGTCAGAAACTCACATCATAGTTTAGCACATCTTAACAGTTCATCAGAGATGGCAAGCGTGAAACAGATAGTGGGTCCCTCGCATAGGGACAGTCCTTGCTCAACTGCTGAGGGCACTGATAGTGCACTGCTTGGAAACGCGCCCTACCCACTGCCTGACGGCATCTACAGAGGGTATGAATTTCAAAGGACTGTCAATCTGGCACCTCTCGGCAGCATTCAATTCAAAGGCAAAATTTTAATAAAGCAATTAATATTAGTTTAGCAATGTCAGAATTATCACAAACATCAATCCTGATACTACATTAAAAAAAATATCTACATTTAAGAAACAAACAAGTTCTCTATGCCAATTTCTTTTAAGGCAACATAATACTGCAATTAAAGCACGTGAACTTTAAATTTTCTTGTTTATTTTTAATTAGAAAGCCACTTCAGTTACACAAATCTTCATTGTTTCAAATTAATGTCAACAGCTCAAGTTCTGATCCTGAGAACAGATTCATTTAAGTGGGATTACACTGTTTACTTGTGCAAGTATCTGCAAGATTCAGCCCTGAAGTTGTTACACAATTTATAACTGTATGTTCCTCATTTGTGAATAAACTCACCTTTGAACTCAGTAATACATCATTCTGTCATGTGCCATCATATTCTCTTAAGTTCTGCAAAAACACATTTATATATCAATTCATAGGCAGGTGAGTATGTCAGGAAGAAGAGGTGAAGAGCTATTAGAAACCACAGCGTCTATATGGCAACCGAAAAGACATGCAAGGAGAGTGAACACCGCACAATCGGACATGGTTATCCTTGAGAGAGATACTAACAATAAACATTTAGGCTGTTTTCTACAAAATTATTTCTATCAATCAAGACCACTTTGCACTTTGCAGCACCTAACACATAAGGATCTAGAAGTGCTTATTAAAAGGTATGGAAGGGGGAGTATTTTCCATGTCAATGAGGTCAAGATTTCACCCTAAATACTAAGTTTGGGTGGAGGTGAATAGGAGATTGCCCTACACTGAAAGATCACTCTTGCTCACTTTTTGGAGAAAGTGAGCAGCTGCTTCAAAGCAAATTCTACGTGCCACTGAGGACAAAGCATGTTATCCAGTTGGAGCAGCAAGTGTAGTTTACACAAACAAAAGGTAGCTTAAGTTTTCCAAGAACACTACAATTAATATCCATATTCTTTAAGCATGTGCCAAGGGACCTGCTTTAAACACTGCCCACAAGGTAACACAAACTGCAGCAGGACAAAGACTTTCTCAGTACCATCCTAGGTCACCACAGTCAAGTACAGAGGCAAAGACTGTACGCTTGATTTGTAAAAGAAGCACTTCAGTATCTTCTGAGTATTTCTCATCAAGCACTGACTGTGAAAGACCCTTTGTTAGCCTCAAAACAAAGCCTAGAAAAGTAGGGAGCACAAGCATGTATATAATTTGGAGAGACTAATATTAATATCTATTAATATTAAATTAGGCAGAGGATTAATAGATTACATTCAAGACATGTACACCAGAAAAATGCACACTGGACAAAAAAGTTAAACTATTTGTTACACTATGACACATAGAAATTGTTTGTAAATTCTCAGGAAGAACTGAGGAGCAAACATCTCTTGTTCGGTTTCTGTTAATCACTGAACACAACAGATATGAAGCATTTTCACTGAAAAATTTTTTTTTTCTATTTATATGCCCTGTAATTCAAGACAAGCAGGTTGCAATAACATTAGCAGGCCATACATCTGAAATCCATAAAAAAGAAATACACTTTTCTATCATCAGGAAGTTTGGAATTAACAGCCCCAAGGTATTAAAACAAACCATTACAAGAGACTCCAATCAAAGGTAGAAGTAACTGAAAAGAGATCAGTATCGGTAGTTAAACTTGCCACGTTGAAAACACTCATTTTTCAGGCATACCCACTGAAAAAATCTATTCTAATCGAAGGTCTGCTGCTGTTTCCTAAGACAGTTTTCAGACTAATACCCCTAAGGAGAAACATGGCATGAGGACAATGACTGAAGAACCATTTATGGCATACCTGGGATCTCCACTAAAGCACAGGCTGCCTAGACAAGGCTGGAAAGGAGAGAAGTTGCTTCTCGCTCACATTCACCGAAATGCCCACGAACAGATCTCAGGAAATGTAAAGAAAACACATTCCCTACCTCCCTGCTTTAAGCTGTTCACACATCTTCAGGGTTCTTGGAAATAGGTGCCATTTCAGGGGACTTCAGTATTGGAGTACTAGAGCACTTCAGTCCTGAAAGCCGGCCCGTCGTTTTTGTGAATAAAGAAGTGAAATGACTAATATACCGTAACACCCTCCACAGTATCTTCAGCTTTCATTCATTGGCTTCTATGGTTTACATTCACTTCATGAAAACAAGTTCAGTACGCCTACATCCTTTCTTTTCCTTCTGTCCCCTCTCCTCTCCATGTATAAGGAGACAGCCAAAAAGATGCACCCAGTCAGGATTTACTGCTTCAAAATACGATTTTTAACAGAAGCTGAAACTTGGCTTCTTATATAAGCTATCTTATTCCTTGGAATGTTTTAGGTAATGTTCTAGGAAAAATTGACCCCACTCAAGTTTCATCACAGACTTCTATTTTTAAGCAAGCCCTCCTCTGCAATTACTAGAAAACATACACAACTTGAAATGAATTTAAAGAACAGTAAGAAGTTATGGGTGAGGGCAGAAGTGACTAAATTTTAGTAGATGTGACTTCCAACTGGTGTTTCAGTCAAACTATGACTCTGATTTCAGCCCAGCAGCATAGCTATATTGCTTGAATAGCAATTTGCCTTCTCTGCAGCAGTGCCTGCAGTCATGGGAAATTATTGCTCTGGAGACCACATGCGTTACACCCTCACCGTGCCACGTAAAGATCCCCTAGCAAGGGTCAAACAAGTCCAGTTTGGGAGCAGAAGAAGATGGCCCCATCAGCATGCTCCCTCTTCCTACCTGCTGGCAGAGGGGGCTCAGAAGGGCACCGCATACCAGCTAGCAAGTCAGACAGCCTTCAGCAGCTGTCCTGGTATCTCCGCCTCTAAGCGGTATGGCGGCGTGCTAAAAGAAGCGGGTGCTCCTATATGACTTCGCTGCACGGCGTAGAGAAGTGCACAGAACCTCAAGCCCTGGAAACTCATGAACTATTCACATACAAATTCTTCAACCAGCTGCAACAGGTAAGAGTAAGGGTTTGCAAGGTAAGGACTCCAACTCTTCAGAAATGGGGCTATATGAAGCTTATTGCTCAAAAGCACTTTGTAATCCTGTGATGAAATGTGCTATGTAAGTGCAAAGTACTATCGCCAAGTCAAACTAAGACTTTTTAAAAAATATCTAGGAATTTCTCAGCATTTCCCTGTTTACCTAACAGATCAGTTCTTTATAAAAATAAATATTGGGAGGACAAAAGCAACAGTCCCCCCACCCAATTTTAGTAAACAAGTTTCATTTTTCCATGCTAAAATTTTCATCATCTTTCACAAAAATATCAAAACACCTAAGAGAAACTGAGGATGCATCAGAGCTGCTTACAACTCATCTACTTTATTCCCACAGCTACACCAGAACTTCTAAACTTCCCAAATTTTTCTGAAAGGCCATAGTATCAGAAACAGTATTTGGCAAAGACCTAGTGAGGAACAGTTTCCTAATACTCAGCAGCAGCCCTTATAATAAATTTAAGGGGAAAACACTTAGCTTTTTTGTCTTTTTTTTTTTCCTTAACGCAGGTACCAGCCATGTTTTGTATCTCCCATTTCTACGGTATTTCCAGTTTCATGTATTTAGACCAAACACACTTTCCAAAAGCTGGTGTACAACATCTTTATATACACTACAAATTCAGATTACCAGACTGTAGTCAGACATTGAATATATAAATAACTTTGCAAACTATTTACAGGTTTTAAACTAATCAGGTTCCAAGCAACCAACACTCTTAAGGCAAATTTCATTTGTATGACTGGCTGTCTGGCCTTTCAGCATTTCTCTCCCCTCCCCAACCCCCCCAAAATGATAGAGAATAAACATGAAATTGAGTTACCCCCTGTCCCTATATTGACAGAATTTCATGTATGGAGAAATAATGTAACTCTTTATAATCTTTCCTCAAAACAAGGAAAAAAGTACAGAAATGCATTTCTGGGTGTGGGTGTCCAGAAAATCATTAAGGTGCATACCAAGAACTGGAAATCCCAATGTCTTATAACAACATAATTTTTGTATGCACTTGACAAATGGATCTGGGAATTTGGGGAAAGCATCAGTTTAAAGCTGCACAACCCTCTTCAGTACTACACATTTATAAGCTCATTAGATACACTAAAATCCGAAGAGCTTAAAGGGATTTTCTGTAAGTGGTGACACTGTGCAATATAAAAAAATGCAGCAAAGAGTGGATTTTGAAAGCATATGTTTAACTACATTAGAATTTTTCTCTTATACCATATTGCTGTGCAAGATACTATTCACCATTTAAAGGTATTCTGCACATCTTGCCAATCCTTGTATTAGAATAAAAATTGGCCATTTCGAATAGTATCTTTTTGTAACAACACTGTATTTTTAAGTGCAGTCCCTTCTGCCAATGCATGACTGAAGCAACCAAGCATATTCTGGTGAAGTAGACAGGATTCACATACCAAACGTGCTTAGTGCCTTCCTTTAAGTCCCAATCATCACTTTGTTCTTACTATTTTTCAATGCCCCGATTAGGTCTTTGTTTGGAAGTAATTAGCTATTGTGGTTTGAAGGATTTTGGAACAAAGCAGAGACTTTATACTGAATGCAGGGGTCATCTCGAACAGAGACAAAAGGTGGCAAATTATCGATTAGCTTTATATTTAGAAGCATCCCTTGGTTCACTGCTAGGATTGCTCCAGTCATCTGCTTCCGGTGTGGTCTTGTAGTGTCGCCATGCTGACTTATTAAAAACAGGAAGTCTTTCAAATGATTCACTTGAAAGGGCCTATGGAAGAACAAAAGCAACGGTAAGATATCATAAGAGATACCAAGAGCAAGATGATACTCTGGGGACTTCTACAGTTACAACTTCTCTATCGAACAAGAGTCTCAATTATCCAAGTGTTACATGCCACGACATTACTTTGAAAATACTTTGGCTGTGACTAATCATTCTAGTCATAGTCGAAGTACTAGTCATAGTAAAGGTTAAAAGAAAATAACAACACTTTAAAATATTGCCCTTCTTTCTGGGAAGTGGTGTCTACAAAGATAGCAAGAAAAAAAGCTTTGGTCAAAAACATTTTAGGAGATCTGCCACTGACACTGGGCAGACAGCTTCTTTCCTCAAACAGTTCACTTCAACAAACTCTGAGTCTCTCAGCACACTGGTCTGTGAGGACTGATCTAGTTCAGTCCATTAGCATGCCTCTTTCCTCTGAGAAAGACCATACCTTTTTCCTCCACACATACATGCAGAGGATTAAACCCGTCAGGAACTAAAGTTAGCACAGCTAGCACAACTCACTCGCCACATACAGCAAGGCAAAGTGACAATGCTAAGTCAACGACCTGCACATGAGCTATATGCTATATTCTTTTAAACTCCGCAATGAAATTCAAGCAGTGTCACCCTTAAGGCCCTGAGTAGCCTGCAATCACCCAAAAAATAACAACAGGACAATAGGCTGTATTGCACAAAAGTGAAGAACTGCATAGGGGAAAAAAAAAAAGGACTAGTCAGGAGTCAGTCAATAGTCTTCACAGTGTTATTTTGGTCAAAACTTTCAGAATAAAAAAGTATTAACCACAATTATCTCTCAGCTCACAGTTCTTTGACAATTCAGCACTTACGATGGATTAAGAAAATGCGAAGATCCAACATGGGACTGGGGGTGGGGTGGGGGGGGGAATGGATCAAAGCAAGCTAACTAGTATTAGTGCCAGGTTAACATTTATAACTTCTGCTTTTAAGATTCTGTGTAACTGATTTAAATAAAATATAACGAAGATAGCAACTACAGATTTGAAAACAAGTTGAAGAATGAAAAGAAAGTTCACTTAATTCAGCCTGCTATAAATTATCAAATTGCACTGCATTAATAGCTTATATAGGGTCAAATTCATACCTTCAAATAAATTACAGCATCTGAACCAACGCCTTCCATTGAGTAGAGTTTAAGGTCACCTTGAAAGTACCTAGCGTACAGACGAGAAATTGGCAAGCCGTAGCCAAACCCAGCCTATAAAAATCAAGAAAACAAAAAGGAAGAATATGGCGTAAAGTTAAAAAAAAAATGCAACAGATCATTTATAAAACAGAAGATACATAAAAATTAGATTTGCATCAAATTACTCTTCAAGCTTTCCTTCATTACACAGCCTGCACTACAAGTTGGTATTCAACCTTTTGAGCAATCTCCTTTTTTCCAAGGTGTAATTTTTTAGTTTAAGTACAGAGAATGGAAAAGTATCAGAGTCCTTTGTTAGGGGTACCTTGTCCATTTTGCATTTTGTCAAAGAGGCAGGTAGGTATAACATACAGTACATGCTGCCCCCAATCATCAAAGCAAACCAATATCCCCAAGCCTGGGATTATTATTCTCAAATGTTTCCACACTTAGGAGACTACACAAGAAAGCCAGAGACAACTCTGTTTACTTCATCTAGGTCACACTATTAAGTGATTGCTGATGCCATACTGCAATAGATCAGAAGGCTACTGCAAAAAGACTACATACAAAGCAATACAAAGCAAATAATCCTCACTGTTTACCCATCTAACAAAAGATCAGGATTCCATAGCACTGAATGAGCTACTGAGGACTGAGACCCTGTGCAGACCATGCAATTTTGAAAGCACAATAGACTTGACAGGTACAAATTTTAGATTTTCAATTTACAACACTAATATTCACAACAATATCTGCAACAAGGTCAACAGCTGGCACCTTTTCCAATCCACTCTTGTCAGAAAGTTATAAAAAAACCCAAGCCTCCCTCACTGCAGCCAGGGAATATGATTTGGTCTCTTTCAGATGACTGGGTATGTGCTGAGAATCTCAGTAGTTGATTATTCACCTGACCCCGCCCCCTGAATTTTTCAGGGATGTTCAGAGCAATAAAGGAAGGATTCCAGACATAGAAGCATTTGAAAATGATGATATATAAGGCAATGGTTTTTTTTTTTTTCCATAAGGGTGGATTACAGGAAGAATTAGACACCTAAAGTTTTCAGAAAACCAACAAACTCATTCCCCTGTAATATTTATACGAAGGCAACCTGACAGCTACTGAGAATCATGCCCTGAATCTTAAAACCAAAGCCCCGAAATGATACAAAAAAAAGGGAAGGCTAAGAAGCAAGACTTGCAAGTGTAATACACAGCTAATATGTGGTATGACTTTTTGAGAAATCCCTTGAGTGAGGGGTGAACATTAAAGAACTTTGTACTACGGTATCCATCACAAATTCTCTTGCTGTCATCTACTATCTTTCAACCTCTGCCTTGTTTTTACAGAAGTCTAAATTTAGTGATCTTAAATCAATTAGAGTTGCTCACACTGATGACTGTAACAGTTCTTCAGAGCAAAATGAGAAACCAAAATGCCAAAGATGCCCTTTTCTACTCACATTGCTGGTCATAGTTATTACCGTCCATTTACACAGTTAAAACTGTTGCTTAGCTGCACTTTTTCAAACAACAGTATGCTTTAAAAATGTAATTCTCAAAGACTCTCATTAGACACTTTCAAACATCTGGTCTTGAAACTAGATCCATTTCTTAATCTCTAAAAACTGGAAGTTATTTGAAAGAACTAAAAAAAAAAATTCCCAAAGCTGACTTGCATCTCTTCTAGAGACCAGACAATAAATACATTCCAGAAATTAAAAAGCACAGCAACTGAAAAGCAAATTGTAGATAGCAGATATGCCCAGGAAGAGCTCAAGTTAAAGGGCAGTATCAAGCAATCCTGAAAACATATTGTACTTCCCTCTCTCCAGAACTATGCTTCCAGAAAACCCATGCCCAACTGCTATTTGCCTCCGGCTCCTTCCAGGAAAATCTTTTTATGCTCTGTGCTAGCCCACATAATTATTTTGTACTTCCCTCCTTCAAAAATTTCCTGTCTCTTCTCTAGCTGTTTTCAGGGTATTTTCCAAAAAGAGCCAACTTATAAGAATTATGAAGATAACAAGGTACTCATCTGGGATCTGTTAAGGCAAGACCTTGCAAAAGGTCTGTTCTGCAAGAGACAATTAACAAGAAGTGATTACTACATAGCTCTGTGCTTGACCTCGAGGACAGAATATAGTCAATGACGGCACATCTGCCTTGAGAAGAGAAAGCTTTTCAGAGTGAATTTCTCATTAAATATTACAACATGCTTTATACAAATAGGACATTAAATTTGTGTTACTAGTGTCTACAGGTTTAATTAAGCCTCATTTAAGCCATGTTTCTCCCACTATAAACAAATGCTGTCAGAGGGAGAATCATTAAATTCTCTAAGAAAACCTAATTATCATTAAACATTACCACATGTTTCTATTTTTTCCAATATGTGTATAGCAGTACAGATGAGCGCAAGACCTGCTAGAATCCAAATGCTGCCATGGTAACAAGGTTTCTCATCAGTTTTTAAAGAACACTTGCAATGACACTGAGAAAGAATTTTCACCAATCAACAAAAAGATCACTCTCTTCCACTCCTCAAGTCCATGAATGTTTCATAAACTAGACAGCGGATCATATAACAAGGGGAGGGAGAGTTAGATAGAAAAATATGTCTATTTACACTGCACTGCAATTTATTTTATGAAAATTACCTAAGAATAACACCAGCACAGACCTATCTACCTTCTGAAGCACTGTAATTTTTAAGTGGATTGGTCTTTGGCACTAAGCAATAAAGAAACTCTCCTTCTGCATGGACTTCTTAGAAGATTTATGCAGAACCTTTCTGCTGAAGAACTTTTATTTCTAGACTGACATACAAAGTATAGCATAATTGTTTTTATAACTGTATCTGGGCCATAATACATAATGTGTCAAGCTTCACTGCTAAAGTCCTTTTTCCTTTTAGTGGAAAGTTATGCCACAGACTCTCAGTTCTTGACTTTCTTCTTTCTGCACACACATATAAACAACAGAGCTTAACACTTCTTCTTAACATTCAGTCATGTACGGGCATCAGTCAGACTCACAGGGCAAAAGCTGCCAGGTTCATGAGAAAGGGGTACTTTGCAGGTCTGACTATAGTGACATATAGACTGAAGAGTAAAACAAATCCTGAAAACGGGGTACACTAGAAGAAAACTAAGTATAAATACCACAGAATCAAAGTAAGCAGTCTTGAAGATGAAGAAATAAACATGGGTATGCACTGCTAAGGCGGGGGGGGGGCGGTGCAGGTGAAGAATAGTGTCAATCCTAAACCGAACACATTTTACAATCAGAGAGCCACAAAGGAATACAACTGGTAATCAAGGTATAGGTTTATAGTGAGAACAGGTTTCAGGAAACTTTTGTAGGCTGATATAGTAAATTACTGATCAAAAGTGAGACAGAACAAAGGCAGATTATGAATCAAGAAAGATTCTACCATTCTTGACAAAGAAAAAAGTTTATATTTGAATTAAGGCCTGTTCCCTATCACTCATCCCATTCAAGAATTTTTTCTATGAAAAAGCCACATCATTGTTTGAAACATATTACTAAGATGTGTTGTAATGTTAGGAGCCATGAAGGATTAATATCAAGCCCATGCAGATACAGAACTGGGTTTCACACCTATGGCGGTGGCAACCACCACTGGTGAAAACAACGCGGTACACTTACATGCCACAATGCTATGAACTGTGGACTAAGACAGTACCATACAGTCTTTCTGCTAAAAATCTAAAAGGAAATTTGTTACCTCTGAACCACTCTGAATTGGTTCCACCTGCAGTTCATTGTTAATTACTTTACATCAAAAACAGTCACACACTCTCTGCACCAAATTTTATTAGCTGCCTAAAGGCACTTCAAGTACAGAAGTATTAGCAGAAAAAAAGAAAAAAATAATCACTTAAGAACATGCTAGATGAGTGTTCCTAAATAGGGAAAATAAATTTCTCAAAGAATCAACTTTTTCTCCACATGCTTGAAGATAAAGGATTGCATCAGAAGCTGTAGAGAACAAAGATGAGAAGCAGCAAGAACACAGTATCAGCATTAATCCACTTATTGAAAGCCAGTCAAATGGAACAGAGCTGTATCATTTTAATCACAATGACCCAATATGTAATTTATTAACAATTTTAAAAATCATGCTTGCTAAAAGAATCTACACATCCAATGCTGAAATAATTCCCTGCTTAGAAGAAACTATGGGGAAATATTGTATCAGGGTCAGATTTCAAACAAACATCTCAGAAGGGTCACATGAGATACCTCCAACTGAACAGGAACGTATCAAAAGTGTTCATATCACATGGAGGTTTGGGAATTTTTTTTTAAATGTGTTTTTACAGTCCATAATTTATATAAAAATAATTTTCAAATTTCAGTATAAGCTTGTGCATTACCAGGAGGTGTTTCTCAAGTGCTATAATTCCAACAATCTGGCTCACCTTTTCAATATATTTATTATACGAAGGTTAGATAAACAGTAATTTACACACTACGGAGGAGCTCATTAGGTTATCAACCTTCTCAGCAATTCAGCAGTAAAAAACCTGTCTGTTAACCTGTGAAAATATTGTGCTTACGCAGACATGCTTGTTTCCAAGAATATAACGTCAAGACAAAGAAAAGCAATTTTCTATTCCAAAGACTAAGTGACAATAACAGAACCCATTTTCTCCTGGTATGTTTTACCTGCCTAGAATTGCTGACTATAAACAATTTCTTCAATGGAAAACCTGATCCAGTTGATTGCAGTGAAGGGAAACGTACAAATAGTGTAGTGCAAAGGGACATTTAAATTCATATTGCAATTGCTTACCAAAGGCACAGCTCTTGAGGGCTCCAAACTAGGCCTGGGTGCTGTTGAGTACATGTAGTTAAACAATCTGTCTATTTTTCTTAAAGGTACACCTCCACCTTGATCACTTATCTAAGGAATGAAAAGTTAGAGTTTTAAACACTATGTTCTGGGGGAAAAAAAAAAAAAAAAAAACAAACCACACCACACAAACAAAAAACCCACGCAAACCAAGCAGCATTATCTAAATGACTTGAGAAATATTGAAAGTTGCAGCTAGGGAGTTTGACTTCGCCTGGTTTGGAGAAAAGGTGGCTGAGGAGCGACCCTGTCGCTCTCTACAGCGTCCTGAGGAGGGCAAGTGGAGAGGGAGATGCCAATCTCTTCTCCCTGGTATCCAGTGACAGGAAGCATGGGAACAGTTCAAAGCTGCATCAGTCAGGGGAGGTGGAGGCTGGAATGAGGAAGCATTTCTGTACTGAGAGGGTGCTCAAACACTGGAACAGGCTTCCTAGAGAGGTGGTTGATGCCCCAACCCTGTCAGTGTTTGAGAGGCATTTGGACAATGCCCTTAAGAACACGCTTCAACTTTTTGTCAGCGCTGACATGGTCAGGCAGCTGGACTTGAGTATTCTTGTAGGTCCCTTCCTACTGAAAATATTCTATTGAAGCAATGTGAAGTAAGTGTCAGAAGTGCTACAGTAATTAATTTGCCTTTTCAAATTAGAAGTCATACTATTCTAAACCTAGCAGGCTTGTAAGTTGCGTATCATTTTTAGGCATTTACCTTAATAGACAGATCTTCTTTCCCCAAAGTGACTAAGGTTTTGATCGATGGATAGCCTTCTTTCTTACCTTCATGCAATTCCACTGTAGCTCTCATTGAATTCTGAAGATAAAACAAAAAACAGTGTATTTGATTCTAACTTTACCATGTATGTTTTTTGTGACAAATTAGAGCTTGCGTTTAACTTGTGATACTAAAATAGATACTAGATACTTTGTCCTACATTTGTATACGAGACAGAAAAGGCCATACTTAAATTCAAGAAGTACTTTCAAGTCAATGAATTGTCCAATTAAACTTTTACATCAGAACTCCGTTATACATTTATCTATTTCATACAGAGTCAGAGAACATAAAGCAAGAATTATTTTTTTTTTTCTGTGTGAAATCAAGTAATTATATATAAAGGATGGCAACATCCTTCACCTCCACCTTGCAGAACACCAATAGTGATGTTCATCACAGAGAACAAGTTTTTATTTTCTCAGCCTGGGTCACATAATTGTTCAGTAATTATCTATAAATCTGACTTTATCATATCTATTAACAGAGCTTCCACTGCCAGTTCATCAGATTACCGTTACTTACAACTACAACTTACTGTTTCATACTGTTTCATGACTCATACCAAAACATACCTACAAGTGGTGTACAAATTCTCACCTGTTCTGCCCTAGAACTAAATGTTACAAATGGCAAAATAGGGGAAGATTTCAATGACCATACTTGACAAGTGACAGAAATCAAACCCAAAATACCATTATTTATGAAAAGTTTCTCTCCGACCAAATGCATTTTCTCCTGAATTTCTAGTGTTCAACTGCACCACCTAGAGACCACCTATCTTATTCAAAAGCATACAGTAGCCTTCACATGTTTCATTTTCAGTGTTGTTCCAATTATTCAGAAAACACAAATAAAACCAAAATAAAACATGTAATTTACACTATTCAAACACATACGGGCTGTTTTCACAACAAAAGACACTGATCCTAACCAGTCCTCAAATATGCAATTAAGAAGCAAGCTTAAGAAAGTTGCAAGATAATGAATATGTCATCATTCAAAAATACACTATGATGAGTGTTTTAAGTTAATCAGCTGCAAAAGCATAAAAGGAGAAGTGGGAAAACCCAGAAATATTTTTAAGTACACAAGGGCATAAGAGCGAGCTGTAAGCCTAGCTTTTAAACAAGTGAAGAGGGCTTGAAACTGTTAATAAGCTTAAGAAAGGAAAACTGAAATAACATCTTAGGGCTGTAACTGAAAAGGATCTCAATTTCAACAGTAATGTAAGTTCACAAACCCCTTCCAAACATTAACAAGTGCAACCTACCTTGAATAATTCAAATAACATATGAAACAAATGAGAAGGTACATAGACTACTTGAATAGGCTTGTTTGGAGCTTTAGCTAAAAAAAAAAGGACAACAAATGATTTTTCTTTCAGAATTTTGTAGCATTTCTATTTACAGGAATAACATGAAACAGTATGCAAAGACAAGTAGGTAAGCGTGTTCTAATTTTCCAACTGCAAGATTAGCTCCATGGGGTAAAAACATAAATTTCATTTACTGCTATCACCTGAAATAACACATTCTAATCATTACTTTCAAAAGATATCTATGTCAGTAGACTGTTTAGATACGAAACTTCACTAAGCAGTGGTTGGTTTAGTACTAACAATGTATGTTAACTAAGAGAACTTTCCCACTTAAGTGGGAAACTTTCTTAACACACACAATATTTATGTTTAATATTTGCTGCACAAAAAGATTCTTAAACTAAAAAAAACTGTTAAACTATTTTAAAAATTGCATATTTCCCTTAATTAAAACAAAGTGTAGTCATAGAAATTTGCAAAATACATTACAAACAATATCAGATTTTTCTTATTCCAAATCATAACTGAATTGTTTGTCAACTGTTGTCCTGTTAGTAGTGTTTCAGCAGAGGCATATGGCTTGGCACAGCTCTGAATGCTAGGGTGCTAACTGATTTGGCAGGAAATAATACAGCTGCATTTAATACATTCCAGGACAGTTTTGGTGCTGAAGATGAAGTCATCCCTGAACATTCAAAATTCTACTGGCATTAAATTACACAGTCACAGCTTGTCAGACTCAGCAGCAGTTCAGATTCAGAAAAGCGTCTAAATGCCTGCTTCATAAATTGCAGGAAGGTAAACACATGCACACAGAACATGACTGGAGTCAACTTCACCCTTTTTGGCACTGAGGGCTGATAATAATACCAGTTATTACTTTAAGAGACACAGTGGTGAAATCTCCTAGGAAAAGACGACCAAAACAATGTTCTGCATAATTAGTTGCAAGGCAACTTGCTGTTTTATTATGTTAATTCTGTCAGAGCCCATACTCCAACTCTTATGCATTACCAAAACCAAGGCATACCGATCTGTACTTGTTTGAGGCATAGAGTACATGTAGAAAACATGTTACTGTTGGTCTTGTGAGGTAATATGCAAAGTCTCTTTCCTCATGTTGATAAGCTATTTAAAGGAAACAAACAATTCCTTCCTTGCTTCTTTTTTCATGAGATCCAGTTATTTGTCTTCTCTATTGTTGGAATTTTTTACTTAGGCCATCGAATTAATTTTGCACTGATTCCTCTGCTACAGCAGTCAGTACTTTTAGCTCTAAAATCATTCAGTTTTGGAGAGGGGAAGGTTGGGTCCTTTGATTTTGGGAGAGGGGGCTGGTAATAACGTATCAGTGTTCACAATATCACTTTGTGTAGAGAAGGACTTCTACAATATTAAACAGTACTTTGAGCAACATATGTTCCCATATATCACACTCTGCATTTTGAATATTACCTATTTCTGAGACTTTTGCAATTCTTCTGGTGGAGTTTGGAAACATCTTAGTCTTGTGTTTGGATAGCTGTCCAAAATTTGCGAGATGATCACTCAAAACAACTTATTTTTTTAATTGGGGGGAAAAAAAAAATCTACCTTTTTTAATAGAAAAGGTGAACAAAAGTCAGTCAATATACTGACAAGGATGGTCTCATCAGTTTCGTAGCACCTAATTTTCATCTTTGCAATCAACTTGAAATAGATTTCCATGTGACAAGTTTATGATAGGACTTAAAGCATAGACAATGTAAAAAAAGTTTCTAGTTTTGCCATCTTACACAGAAGAGCTCTCCACTGGTGCAGGGACTGACAGTGGAATTTACAAGCATTCTTCAAAAAGAAAGAAATTCAGCTCTATTAAAAGATTAGTTAGAAGGCAGGCATGTTTCCTTCCCAGTTATAAGGACTCTTGACCACTTTATTTCCCTTAGAGTGATAGCAAATTCAGTAGATAGCACTCTGCATTCAGCATTAAGAAGTAAAAGAAAAAACCATGTCATGATGATAAACTGTAATTCCGGTGCCCATGTAGACACAGTAGAAGAAAAGTAACTCTGCATACACGACTGCAGAGTTTGAATTGTAACTTACAATTAATTAACAGAACTAGAAACCACAGATATCAGATACGATATTTTCTTACATACATCACTTAAATTAATTTCGCAATTACCATTGAATTCTTCAACTTCCAGATCAGGTGCCACGAGATAGTACTGTTCACATAACATCTTAGCTGTTTCATAAGCATCTACAAAGCAACAGAACAATACACAAACTCAAAGATGTTTTAACTACATTGCTTCAGCTACCTTAACAGAAGTGGCTTCTTCAGAATAAGTGTGGGCTCAGAGCAAGCACAGAAACAAATGGGCAGCTCTGCAGACAGACAGGAATTTGCTAAGATAGCATAACAATTGCATTTGACCTCACTCTACATATATCTTCTTCCTCCTGTCCAAAGTGACACTACAAAACAAAACAGTCACTGTCATAACTCAGAGCTATGTGACAAACACAAAGAACGTAAAATCACCAGTCCCCAGAAAGGGCAGGTTACCTATAATTGTTCTCCTTCAAGATGTCTATGGAAATAATCTATAATGTGCCCTATTATCTGAAAAAAAAATTTTATCAGTTCTTCTGACATCTGCAAGGCTGGACATATCACACAAGGCTGACACAAATGCTGCTCCATGTAAAATGGCGCTGATCAACACTGGAAAGATTCTTGATCAAGTCCTGTTAATGTCTCACAAAATCAGCTATCCAGTAGGAATCTTTTGTGTCAAGATGGTCAGCTCCAAGGACTTTCAAAACACAGTAAAACGTGCCCTAGTGAAAAGATCAAAACCCCATTTAATACCCAAGCTGTACAGAGAACCTCAGCCCAGGATATGCATAATTTAGGGAAAAAAGGTGCAAGAATACCTACACTTACACCATAGTCTAAGATCATCTCAGAACTTCTGATGGCCTTGGGAGTAATCCTGTGCTTTAGAAAAAAGGGGCATAAGAAGCACAGCCACAATCTTGACCCAGTCATCAAAAGCTGAAGATAGCAATGTAGCTAGTATGACCATAAGGCCATCTACATGGAGAAAGGTATACATGAGCACACTTCAAAGAAATCACACATCATAGAAATGAAAATTAGATATGGATCCAGGGGACAGAAGCTGGGTTCTTATTGTGGAAAAAAACTTCAAGGCCTCTGAAAAGCAAATCACTACGTGGGAATAAACCAAAAGCTCTCAATACACAGATGTGGTACAGGCAAAGCCACTATGCAAACCTTGAGAGAACAAAGAGGCTCTGAATACATCCATTTACCCCTGCCAAGTTTAATGTAGAACTCTCATCCATTTTCAATAAGTAGCCACCCTAACACCCCTGACATGAACAGGAAGTCACTATCACTTCATCGTCCAGTAAAATATCCAGCTCCAAGCAAAACAGTGTCAAACAGAGCCTGAGTGGAGCCTTACATTTTACCACCTTCTAAAAGCCAACTCTTTGGCAGAGTCCTAAGACTGTAAAAGAGACTGCAAAGTTCAAAGCATTCGTCACATCATAGCTAGAGGTAAGTAGCAAGAGTGAAGGATCTATCCGTATATCTAAAATCCCAGCTCCAGGAATAAGCCTGGATTTGCTGTCAGCTCAAAAATCTTATTGTAGGATAGTCAGTGAGATAGAGACCCACCTCAGGCAGTTACAGACAATACTTGGTGGAGCTGCTTGAAGGAAGAAGTGACTGTTTAAATAATTTCTTCAATGTTTGAAGGGCACACAGAGCTTGTAGCTGCCACATACAGTGCCAAAATCGACATCTCAACTCTGACAAATTGCTCAGAATGTCATCTGTGAACCAGGACATTTTGGAGCTAGCACAGTATACAGAACGTAAATTAACCCCTGCACCAATTCTACAAGGAAATGGCCTCAATCACCTTGACTCTAAACAGGCTCTGTCTTTAAGGATACTTCATTTCTTTGAAAGACAACACTGGATACTGTTTATGATGCCCTCATTTTGTTAGCGATTATTTCTTCAGATGTGGAAGACCTATTTTAGCTGCTAGCTTGAAAACTGGACTGAGCACCTTCCGACACTATGACACTTCCAACTCCTCTGTCCAAGGCAGCAACTATGAATTTGATGATCAAAATAGATGCAAACATTGCTACTAGAAGGAGTATCTAAACAAACAACACAGCTGTAACATATTCAATGCTGAGGTCAAAGTGGAGAAAGATCAAAAGAAAAGAAAGATGCTGAAAAAAGTCTGCCCTAGAGACAAAGAGAGCTACAATCCAAGAAGCCTTCATAACAAGCAAGCTATCACGCAGGTCAAAGTCTGACATAAGAAAAGTTCCCCCTCTTACTTCACCAAAGGCTGAGAGAAAGTGAAGGGGAGAAACACATTCTTCCCCTCTTGCAGCTACACAAACAGCAGTGAAGGATAGAGGGTGCAATTCACTCCTACAGCAAGACCTGTATTTGTAAACACATACACCCAGAGTGCGAGTTCTTGAAGCAGACAGCATTGCCTCATGCCTACTTACTAACATACTGAAAGCATATGAACATTCACAACATTAAGGAAACAGGATTTCTAACATGACCATGCCAGCTCATTCAGCTACAGCCACCACATACACATCTTCTGTGTAAGAGAGAACAGGCTGAGATATGATCAGATACACATAGTAATGGGGAGTTTCACTGGAATATCTGTACACCTGTGGACATTTAATGAAAGGCCTAACTAAACAAATTGGAAAATTTCACGTGTTCTAAATTTTCTTTAGTACCAGCATCAGATAAAAAGCAGTACATCAGAACCTGCTTCTAAGCATTTTAGGAAAGAAAACATCTAAAATTTAACAAAACACTTAGACACTTGATCTGATATTTAAAAGGACAGATTAAAGTTATTAAAAAAAATACGTTTTCTTAGTTCTCTTAACATACCAAAGGTTTCTTCATTCTCAATAACAAGGGTATTAAAAAGTCTCAATAAGCCCATGGCTTTACTGTGAACAACTGAAGAACTTCCATTTTTCTTTTTTTTTATTTTATTGAATGTAAATCACTTTCAGTCTTTTGTATCTCAACAACTATTTATGCATATTCTAAGTTGTGGTTTTGTTTGTTTGTTTTTTTAAATCAACAAAAATATTAACTTCATCTTACCTTTAACCACCTCTGCCACGTTACAATTAGGATCAATACTTCCAATATGTTTGGGATGTGCAGGATTAATATCTCCACCAAAGAGAAGTGCTAAAAGGAAAAAGAAATAGCAGTAAATTGTCTTTTACACTTGAGGCAGCCCAGAAATTTTCAATCTGGTGGTATCTGAAACTTACTGGATAGCACATCATTTTGTAAAAAGATACTTTCACAAATTGCCAAAATCCTTGTTTAGGAAGGCTACTCACCTCCCTCCTCCTGTTTTTTTTTTTTTTTCCTTTTCAATTTTTAATAGTTAGTTTAATAGACTAGTTAATACAGAAATAGAGGTGTGGGAGGATTAAAGTGAAAACCTACATTTCAAAGTGGACTATCAACAATCAAATAGAACTAAAATGTAGAATGCTTCAATTGTACCATGATATCAGAACAGCAGCACAACAATGAAAATGTTACAGCGAAAAGGGCTGAGGAACTGTAAGACAGCATTAAAAGCCTTTTACACTCACCTAAGCTGCAATTTCACAGCTGGCACAGAGCTCTCTCACTCAACTTTCTCCCTGACTCTCAGCAGTATGCTCCCCACTCCCTCCTTTGCACAAGGGTCTGGCACTCACCAGATCCTTCACTGAGAGTTTAGCTCTCAAAGAAGTAGAAAGGTTTTACACTTTTTTGCAGAAGTGATTTTCTGCTATTTTAGCAAGTCAGTCAGCTCTGATATGAAACAGATGCAGTATGAAGTAAGCAAAAGACTGAAAGCTTTTCCTATTCCGGTCATGGTGAGCTAATACACTGGCATACTGCACCTTGCAAAATTGCACTGTAAGAACAGTCTGTCAATAATGTACAGAAGAAATGCAAGTTACATAAAAACCTCTTTCTGCATTCTGCTTTCCAATTGTCTTTTTCATCAGTGCTTCAAGATTAATATTTGCCATCACAGATGGGTCACCAACATTGCTTAGCATAGCGAAACTGTACAAGGGTAATAAACCTTTAAGCATCTACAAGTGGTTTTGTTTTTAAGTTTCAACCAGTTAAATAGGAGTGTCCATAGGAAAAGACATTTCCATTCAATTAAATAAGTTTGATATTTTAGAATTAGTGCAAATTATGCTAACACTTGGCCTAATAATTCTATTTTTACTTATTGCTAGAACTCTTCTACAAGAGCCTTTTAACTTAACTTGGTTTTATGCCTGTCATTGGTCTGCCCAGGTACAAGTAAAGAACAAGCTGTGCACTTATTTTGTGTGCTTTGCCACATGGAAGTCATTTGTACACACCCAGCAAGGCACATGCTAGTCACATAAAAGGTTACTGGACACGCACCTTGTAGTAAAATACCTAACACTACAGGTAACATGGATGCTAGAGTACTGTTGTGTACTACAATTTCTAAGAGCTCATGAAAGCAGAATACTGGGCAGAGAATGAAGCTCTAGAGCTAAAAGGTACAAGACATACTAAAAGAGATCACAAGATTGTCCTTAACTTTATACAGATCACTTTCTGCATGGTTGCACATACTGGTTAATACTGTGCAAGTAACTCCTTTTACTCTGTAATACGAATATAAAAGTAAGTTTATTAGTAACAAAAAATGAAACAGAACCTAATGACAAAGGATAACTAACTATTGCATTTATTCATAAATAGTAAATAGGAAATAGGCAGAAAAGTGATGTAATTTGAACACTAAGTTACAAATACTCAACCTCTTCAGAAGGCAAGAAAGTCTAGATAACTTGCTGAAAAAACAATAAAAATCCATATTGTGCATAACCTATTCAAAATTTATGGCATCCTTGCATTTCAGTATGAAAGAAATGTCAGCTCTACAAACTAAGTTGAGAGATTTGTAAGCAGAAAGATACAGCTACTCTATTGCTGTCTAAAAATACTTCATGTATCACTTACGCGAGCTGTCTCTGCCAACAAGATTAAAAGTGACAGCCACACTGACAAAAACCTGAAAATTCTAGAAGAAAGCTTACTGGTGTTTTGGATTGATTTCTGGTAACTGCGAAGTACCAAATTAACCAGTTGCCAGTATATCTTTTACTATAATTAGCACAGAATATTAAGAATTAGTAATAAGTATGAAAAAAACAAAACAAAGCTACAGCTTCAGGTTTACAAGCAGTAACTAATGAGTTCTCAAAGATGAAAAAAGCAATTACTTACTGTGTTGGTTAATAAGCATACGGAAAGAGATGCGGTTGGTGTAGAATCTATCTAGAAAATACTGGATGTTACTGCTAACAAATGGATCAAAGCCATATTTTTCCTTGTATTCAATCACCCCTTGGGCCATGGTTGGAACCACATCATTGTGTCTGTTCCTGACTTTAATTAAAACATCTAAAAAGCTAGAGGAAACAAAAGTAGAAACAGATTGTTACAAGTATAATTAAACTGAACCTCTCACCTCTGTTTTCAGCTCCCCACAGCATAACCATTTTATCTGTTAACTATCCCTCCCAGTCAAAAAAAAAAAAAAATTATCAGAGGGAGAAGAGTAAAAATACAGCGGTAGCTAAACAAATCCATTTAAAGAGAAATATTTGGTCAACCTCTCACTCATGAGATCTGTGAAATATTTAGGGCATCAAATTAAGTTAGCCCTCCCCAAAACACTCCGTTAAATTAAATCTCTCTTCACCATTAATGGAGAACAAAAGATTTTCTTTTATTGCAGTCATATGCACCATGGTAACTATCATTCTCTGCAGCTAAAACAACCTCACTGCCCTTCACAATTTTCCAAGAAGTTTTACACTTCATACTTCCCAACACCTCAACCCCTGCAGTCTAACTTCTGAACGCACTTTCTTTACCTGGCATCTATTCTGCTAAGTTTGAATATCAGGATAGGCAACTATTATCAGTGTGAGCTCTGTTCAGTTTCCTTTTACACCGCTGGATGGCAGAGCGCATACAACGGTGCTCTGATGGACTCTCCTCTCTGGGAGCTTGGCAAGTTTTAGGATATCACTTCCACTGCTTTTAACAAGCCCCTGTTAACAAGCACACATACACTTTGAAATAGCTTGGAGGATTTTTGTTTCTCCTGCCAAGGCAGCTCAATACCTATGATCTTCAAAGTGCTCATTCTTTTTTTCCCCCCACATGCATATTTGAAATAGTAATTATTAATAGTTTTCTAAAGCCTGGATATAGAAAAACAGCACTACTCAACTCTGCTACATTCTCTAACATTAAATGAATATTAACACCACAAGGATTATGTGACGTTGTTTTAAAAAAAAAAAGCACACACAAATGCATCTTTCAAAAGAAAGTACAGCTGGGAGGCTTGTTCAGCTATGCCTGTATCTGCAATTCTACAGAGTGGGTTTGGTGTTTTGTTTTGTTTTGTTTTGTTTTGTTTTTTTTTTACACAAAAAACATCAACAACAGAACATTCTCAGTAGATTTATAATGAACACTGAAAAGAAATGTATTAATTATTTTTATCAAAAGTAGAATATAAACCAGCTAAGGAAGGAATCATAGAACAGTTTGGCTTTGAAAGGACCTTTAAAGGTCATCTAGTCTCATCCCCCTGCAATGAGCAGGGGAAAGAACATGAAGACCACCAAAAGTAAAAGTTAGTCACCACATTTAAAGCAGATGCTTCCTTCCTTTTCATAACCACTTAGCTGAGACAACATACCATTCTCAACAAGTGATACACTTTAAAATTATGCCTCCCACTCTACACTGCCAGCTCTACAGGAATGTAGGATTTATTTTTAATAGTTTTTTCACCATCCTCAGTCTACCCATCAGTTTTTGCCTGTGTGTTAACAAACAGTTCAGTAGCCTTTCAACACTATTTTGTTGCATAGAAAAGGGGAAGTTTTAACTGCCTAATTCCCCAGTCTAAACACTACGACAGTAGAGAATGACTGTTCTCTTACTTACCAATCTTGCTGACTGGACAGCTTAAAAATATTTTAATGCTTAAAAGGTTTGTAGACTCTTTTCATATTTATCAAGTCTTGACTGTGTGTGATCTATAACCACCGAGATCTGATGCTAGTTTTCAAGACAAGACTAGTGCCTAGCTATACTCACACTGCTGCTCTGTTTCAGAGCAACAAGACACTAGCCAAAAACAGAGCCGAGAAGCAACACTTACAATCACATCTGAAAGACAACTGACAGCACTCCCTACTAACTGCTCTTTGCTGACAGCTTTGCTATTTGTTTTTAAATACCTCCACTATCCACAATATATACAACAGGATGCCTACATGCTCCATGAGGGCACTGTCACTGAGTTCACTGTCATCCCACTACCAAAGCACTTAAACGCACAGAGCATGCTGAAGGGCAAACAAAGGGCTAGGAGGCTTATCTGCTACGGACCAGCAAACCATAGTGAAGCTTAATGTGCAAATACACACAATAAAGGAATTCTTCATTATTGCAGTGATATGGCAAACCTCCTCTTCCATCTGCAAAGATAACTGAGCTCACTCAAGTGTTTCCATCAAGCCAATACTTTTAAAAGGACCAAACATGAAGTATATAGGTATGTTTCAAAACAGCAGAGCAGAAATCAAAACACTTTTCCTTAATCTTACTACCCCCCAACCCCACACACCCCTGGAAAGATACAAAGCTTTTACTGAACTCAAACAGCGAGAGACCATATCAAGGAATTTTTAAAATGCTCATGGCATTAGCTGGGGGGTGGGAATACTCCAGAATAGCTCTGAAAATTTCATTTGGCAATGACTGTTTTCTCAGAATTCAGTGTATTGTATTTTCAAAACGACAATGAATAAATAATGCAGTTGGTTTGACAGATAAGAAATTATTAATATGAAGCTATTTTAGTCAAGTGAGCTTCAACGGCTTCTGTATTAACAGAAGAATACTTAAAGCGTTACCATTGTTGTTAAACAAATTAAGCCTATAGACTTCTGCAAAGACAGTTAATGAATGTCACAACACAAGTTATTATTTAACTCCCTAATGACTGTATATATTATTCTGTTTTGATCTATTATCACAGTGCAAGAAAAGAAGTTATAATTAAGTCATTATAAAGACAAAGGGAATTTTTGCTATCTCTATTTTATGGAAAGTATTAGCTGAAAGATTAAGGACAAGAAAGTTATAAGTAGACTGAAAAAAAACCCCCTCCTGTTAAATGGAACAGACATGCAATGGGGTTTTTTTTTTTTGACTGGCCGCTCTTTAAGGAAGTGCTAGCTGGCAGCTGAGAATCACCAGAAAGACAGGTACAAGTTCACACTCTGAAAGATTTCTCTACTAGAAAGTATAGCTACTTTGCAGTGCAAAAGTCACTGAACTAGCACTTCAGATTATTTGAAAGTAACAAAATGGCACCTTCTTAATCAAACCTAGTCCAGTATTTACTTATTTCAAATTGCTAACAGAATCACTGTTTTCACCTTAGTGCTGCAGAAACGAAAGCTACTTCTTGTTTACTAAGTTTCTTGTGTGTCTGTTATCTCCAGATATGCTGGCAGCTTACTGCTGCAGTTGTTCTCAGTTCCAGGACACACACCCCTGCCCTCCCATGAAAGGGACACAGGACAAAAAAATCAGCGAAGAAACTCATGGGTACAGGGGGTGGAGTAAATGTTCTTTGAAAGTACATGTGAACAGCACATTTTACAAACCCTTCAGTTTTTGAAAAATGACTTCTGCCTCTACGTTTATCTGGATGCATACCGACACCATGGGAAATTTCCAACACTTCTGCCAGCTTACACCCTCTACCAAGTGAGGACACCTTATCTTAACGCTCCTGCAATCACACCGTTTGACAAAACCGTGGAAAGACTTCCACCTGACCGCTCTGCAGCTTGAGGAAAGATATTCGTGTTACCGAAAATGCAAAAGTAACCTGACCTTTTGGCATATGCCCATACTACTCACAGCAAAAGTGATCTGGCAATGTTGTAGTAATTCTTTATAAGGTCTGCTAACCAACAGAACGCAATAAAGAAACTGAAGCACCTGTGAATCTCTTCATCACAGAAATGCTGAGACAAAAAAAAAATCCCATTAGAGGATTTTGTCCAACATTCATAAAAAGTTAACACTCACGAACATACATCTGTCCTCAAATTCCTGCACTAAAAGCAGAGATAAGCTGGGCCACTCTAAAAAGCATCAGCATTAGTTTAGTCTCCACACTTCCTCCTAACCATTCATCCTCTTTGTTGCGTTGGCACTGCTCTCTGTCTATGTAGGCCACATGGTTTAACAGCTTAGGAACCTTAGGGACCACAGGGCTGAAAGTGGGCTAATTTTTCCACAAGATCGATTTCCCAATTCACTTCACTGCATGGCTTCATAGACAGCTGTGCCAGTACATGGGTAACATCTAGAATCCTCTAACACTGGTACATAAAATGGTTTCCTCAGAAAGAGAGCCCAAATTCTGAGAATACCAGAGCAGGCTCCCCAAACAAGCAGAGATATCACACAAATAGTCAGGGCACAGTTTTATGTCCAGCTGACCAAGTCATTCCACCATTTTAGAAAGCATTAATTGAAGGACTACTGCCAGCATATCCATCTATGGATAACAAACTTTTTTAAAAGATCGTTTTAGCTCCCCTCTCTCCTATGCTGTTAGCTTGATTACCCATAACAGAAACTGAAGTCCACCTTAGCTGACAAAAAGACCACCAAGGCACTCATTCCATATCCAAAAATCAACTGCTCTGTAAGTCTTCGTGTTTTTTGCATGCTTGAGGCAAATGCCACATTCGGCTCCAAAACAAAAGCTGCTGGGGTGGTACAGGAGCAGAAGTACTTCCATCCAGGCAAGTTTCACATTTTGTGATACTAATTAAGCTAAGGGAAGAAGCGTTGGGGGCCATCATGAAAGCTGTAAGTCATCCAGTACCCCACAGGGCACTAACAAGGATGAGCACTACGATGACCAAGGGATGCAAGACTGGGTCTTCTGTAATCTGAAGCTAGTCTCTGCAGTGTGCTCAATGTGGGAACAAGACAGCCGAGAGGAACCAAGAGATGAAGAATGCTCCAACCCCTCTTCATATGCAAGGTACTCAGAGGTAGACTGCAGATACTGCTAGGACAAGAAAGGCTCTGGTTCAAAGGGCTGGGCATACCTTACAAGAGCGAACCTCCATGTGTCCTTCTCTAAACAAACCAATCTGGTTGAGGAAAAGTACTGTTCCTATTCACACAGCCCTAAAGACACTCTCCACAAAGTCCCAGATAATGGCTCAAACACTGTATGAAATGATACATGCAACTACAAAAGAAGAGTGTTATGTAAACATAAATGAACTCAGGTATGTTTTTTACCACTGAAGAATTAGTTCATTAACTACTAGAGTTCCCGACATTTCTCCTCTGACAATAAGGGACAAAAGTAGGATAGGGCTAGACAGCAGCAACATGGAATACTGGTACAGGAGTTGAGAAATTTGCTAGATTTATCTGTGGGTTATTAAAAGATAAATATGGATGTAGTTAAGAGTATTTTTTTAAAGATGCAGTTTGCCAAGAATTTTAAAATAATTGCTAATTACAGCTCAATATCCATTTAAATGGCATAGCCTTCAGAAAGTTAGGAATAAATGACATGCAAAGAGCAGGAAAGTAAATCTGACTTTCTAATCTTAAGTAGCCTATCCAATATTAAAAAAAACCCACACATATATATATATATAGTGATGTACCTTGAACCTCTGAAGTCCATAAAAAGCTGAAATTCAGAAATACTCAACTAAATACAGAACACTAAGATGGTACCAGAAGGTACATAACTACCTCACCTCCGTCTGCACATCCAGGACGTTACAGGCTTAATAGGACCTGTATTACATTTGCCAGGCTTGCTTAGATGTCTAGGACAGCTTATGCCATCTCAAAAGGCAACAGACACCTAAGTTTTGGTAACTTAATCCCACTCAAAATACTCTTTTAAATCAAGCAGTAGGAAAAGTTACTGCTAAACTAGTCACAAGGAGAAATTCTTGTCCCATCAGCAAACAGGTTATAAATCCAGAATCATAAAATGTTAACAGCTAGAAGTAGTCAAAAAGTTCATCTAATTTAACCACTGCAGAACAAGCATGCCTAGATCATCACTGAAAGTTATCTAATCTATTTTTTAAAATGGGATGGTCTACAGCCTTCTGAAATGGTCTTTTTCAGTCTTTCTCACTAATACTAAAATTTGTACTTTTTGCCCTGTATACAATCTCAACTTTAATATCAGCAATTTTTTAATTCTCCACTTCAAGCAACAATCATCCTTTATTAGTTACTTTTTTTTGTGCACTCAAACTTCCACTGTCTCACACTTCAATCTCTTTTTTAAAAGTCTAAAAAAATGTCTTCAACTTTATTCAGAGGTGGAACTCTCCAAGTCTCTAATTCTTGTTCCTTTCACACCAATGCTGTCCATATGTGTTTTAATTTCTTCATGGGTAGTACCCAGAACTGAAGTATTCCAGCTTATGACTTGCACTGAGAAAAGTTACCTTCCCCTTGTTCAATAGCATTACAATTCACTCAGTTCTGCCATGCAGGGAATTTGGTACTCAGGCACTTGAGTTCCTCCTGCATGTATTGCTTGATAAAAAATAAAGTGTAAAGATCTCATATAACATGCCCACAACCAAAAGAGCATAACATCTAAAATGCATTACCTAATAAACTCCTTGCTTAACATAACACAGCAGTTAATGTATCTGAAACTAACTGAAGACAAAACACCATTTTTGCACAGCACAGGCCACATCTGGGACAAACAGCATTTGTTGGACTGCAAGATGTTTTATGAAACACTACCTAAAAAGCACTGTTTGATCAGGCAAGATTTCCAGAGCTTAAAATGAAATTCAGGTTTAAAAGACAAGCTACCCTAAGAAAATTAATACACGGAACAAGAAACCTGCAAGAAGTAATCTCCTGAAACAATGTTGACTGCTATACAGTAGAGGATAACTATAGACCTTAGTGTTGGGTTTGGGTTTTTTGGGTGGTTTTTTTTGTTGGTTGTCTTTTTTGGTTTTTTGGGTTTTTTTTGTTTTAAAGTCTCTGATGCATATGTCACACCTGTTTTTCTCACATGGGGGGGTCTGGTTTTTTCATACAAATTTCAAGGAAACATTCTAATGACAACTTTAATATTTTGTTGATAAAGAAAATTGGCTAACCATTCCTTTCTTCTCAAAACGTAAGTAATATTATTCAGTGAGGTAGGTGAACACCAATAATGGAAATCCATTAAAAAAATCTTTTAGACAAAAACAATGATTCATATATACTATATACAACAGAGTACTAAGCTAAACACGTACTAAAATGACATTTTAGTCATAAGTATTTGATACACAAGTATATTCCCACATGCATGTTGTCTTCTAAATACAGCCTTGGAGGAAGCATTTTATGCCATTTCTTAAACTACAAGACTGTATAAATGCAAAATATATCGTGCAGAAGCACTTAGATTCCTATATTCTGCTACAGATTACAATCTTGGTCTTTGCTGCACAAATTCTACCTTACAAATACCATTACTGTTATCCTATATCAGAAAAACACTTGCTTGAGATTATTTTTAAATGAACTGTCACAAGAAAACAAATTACTCACTCATCCAGAACATGAGGATCCTCAGGACTTTTATTTTCATATTCTAAAAGCTCAAGGAAACTCTGCATGTACCTGAAATAAGCAAAAATGATAAAGAAGAAGTTAAAATACTTAAACCTAAATTACTTTTAATTTTAAGACTACAACTTCATCTGAAACAACAGAAGCATAGTGCACAGTTCTCTGCAAAGGCTAAAATGAAGTGGGACACTGCAACAAAGGGGAAGAAAGCAACTACAATAGATTATATTGAGTTACACTATTATTTATGACCCTACAGTCCACGATTCAGGAAAACTGGTATATAAATCATAGAATAGTTTGGGTAGGAAGAGACCTTTAAAGGTTATCTAGCCCAAACCCCCTGCAACAAGCAGGGACATCGGCAACTAGATCAGGCTGCTCAAAGCCCCATCCAACCTGACCTGGAACATTGCAGGGATGGGGCATCTACCACCTCTCTGGGCAACCTGTGTCAGTGTTCTACCACCCTCACTGGGAAACATTTTTTCCTTAGATCTAGTCAAAATCTACCCTCTTTTAGTTTAAAATTTTTACCTCTGGTCCTCTTGCTACAGGCCCTGCTAAAAAGTTTGTCCCCATCTCTCTCTCATAAGCCCCCTTGAAGTATGGAAAGGCTGCAATAAGGTCTCTCTGGAGCCTTCTCTTCTCCAGGCTGAACAACCTCAACTCTCTCAGCCTGTCCTCACAGGAGAGGTGTTCCATACCCCTAATCATTTTGGTGGCCCTCCTCTGGACCTCCAACAGGCCCATGTTTTTGCTGTGCTGAGGGCTCCAGAGCTGGGCACAGGACTCCACCAGAGAGGAGTAGGAGTAGAGGGACAGAATCACCTCCCTCAACTTCCTGAATCAAATCAAACTGAAGTTAACAGGAGCATTCCTTCTCTTCAGGTAGGTCCGTAATTTCAGGTAACTTAGTTCATCCCTGGATCTTGATTCCCTGGTCATCCACTTTGTACAGATGTTGTTTGCGCCCATGTTCCTCAGAGAACAATTCAATCTTCCTTCCAAAATAAAGCTCCAGAGAACACTCCCCAAAAGCCATGTTAACATGACTGCACCAAGCTGGTCCTACAACAGTACTCCAGAAGAACACCCCCCTTCACACACTCCCACACCTCCTCACATTGTACCTCAGGCCACGTGACACAACCCTCAGCTTCGTAAAAACACCACTTACACAACACTGCTCTCTCTAATTCAGACATTCGGCACACATGAGATAGTAATTGATGCTTAGAGGCACAGAGGTACCACACCAGACCCGAAGAGGATTTAAGGCAAAGTACCACTCAACATGAACATGCCCAGCCTGCTCTGTAGGAAACTAGGCCAACACCAGTATAAATGCCATCACCTCAGACCACTGGGCGTGACAACTGAAGCAGGCACATTTCACAATATAAATGTAGCTTTAAAGATTACAGAATTGGGACCTATATCTTGAAGTAAATTACGCAAGGTATCAATCACAGACATAAAAAGTAGGGTTTCAATGTTACCAGAAGCAGCTGTCATTCCTCTCTCTTTTGCCCTCCCTCCGCTCCTGATGAAGCGCTGCCACTTACACTGTAACAACATCAATGTTAATCAGATGTTTGTGTCACTGGCTGTAGGTTCCTGCAACCGCAAAAAATAGCCAGATAGGCAGATAGGTTTGGGTTTTTTTATCATTCTCACTCATGAGATGAACTCACAGAAAGGTCTAACAGGCTAAGGCTAGCACAAGAGAGAAGAGACAACCATAAAGCCTACATAAGGAAAAAAAGCCTTTCCCCTTTCAGTACCAGCAACCCTTTAGGTCAGCTCAACAGAACGGTCTATGCATAAGCTCAGTGCCTATGAGACTGACCCCAGTCACTGAAGCTTGGACAACTTCAGATTACAAGAAAACCTCTTTCAGTAACAGTTCTACATGAAGATCAGCTTAGGCTATAAAACTTCACCCTACATCTTCAAGCTGCAGCAAAACTTAAGAGAGCACTGCTGTCCACACAACTCCCTCCAGAATCACATGCTGCTGCTCCACCTCCCATTTCAGTTGCAGCCATCCCAGGCCACTGTGACATTTCTCCAGGGAGACTGACATTTTCAGCATTGTCAGCACAGTAACGTTAGCTCTTGCCCCTCTGTGTGATTTTGCTCTACTGCAACTGTCACAAATGACTCCAGAAATCCCCCAAATGTTGTTTGCCAGTTACAAGTTCAGGAAGTAGCTCATGTCTCTACTACTGCTTATTTTAAAACGTGTTCTTTTACACTGCTAAGAGGTAGTACCGGTTTAGAACAACCATCACACCACACCCCCAGGAGTTCAATAAATTGTCTAGGGTCACTTCAGGGAACAGGCAGTAACTTAAGGAGCCATAGCCCACTAGCCACTGAAGATGAGTTCTTGAAAAGTGCAATATTTAGATTCAGTTAGATACTGAAGCAGTTCTAACTATGCAGGGACAGTATACATGATGTGGAAGATAGAGAGGCAGGGGAAAATCACCATGACCATCAGATGGAGAAGGGACTGAGTTTCTGAAAGACTGAATAAGAACTAATTTCTTTTGAGAATGTGTCCTTGCACACACTCCCCTTTTGTTAATTCTCACCAGGGAAAGAAAAAAAAAGAAGAAAAAAAAAATCGCTTTACTCTCTGAACTCAGCTGCTTCACCTGCAAGACTTAACATGTAACAAACTATGATCATGTTATTCAACATTATCTGCCTCATTTGAATCAAGGTCAATCAAGCTACTCAGGATGGAAAAAAGGTACCATTACTAGCGAGCAAAACACATTAATAAAAAAATCAGCAAAGGAACTCCAAAATGAAAGATAGGAAAGCGGTGGAAAAGGCACTGAGGGAATTCAGGATGTCAGCTCTATGGAGGCAGTAAGATGAGTTTTTGACTTCTTGCCAAACCAGGCAATCTCATGCAGAAGCAATGCTTAAAAGCCATTCCTGTGCCCAGTTTTGCTCTGCATGACACTCCACAACCAGTCTTTGCTACCTCCTTGACCATTTCCTTGATCGGTGATAAGAACATATCCAAGTCGTTCCATCCATAACTGTCTCAAAGAGGAAACTGACTTTCCAGACTTTTTCTGTGAAGAGAGTACCATTCATGCGGCATCCTTTTCTTGTAAATACATTTAGGAGTGAAAACGCCTTGTAACTTGACTTAGTCAAGACTACCAGCATTGCCAGATTGGACTAGCTCCCTCCTGCTGTGGGTTGTAATGTAACAAGAAAGCTAAGATCTTCCTTTGTAATTAATTAAATAAATATTTGCTGTCTTAAAGTTGTTTGTATGGTAAAAGGAAGTCAGGTGAAATACTTATTTGATTCTACAGAGGAAAGCAATCTACCCAAAAAATACGTGCCTGATTTCTGTGAAGGAGTCTTATTCTATTCCTCAAATACATGTCGATCTCTTGCCACTCAATGACTGTGCCTACATTAGCATTTTTATTTCCAAATCCAAACCTGCAGTATAGTTTTTGAAATGAGTCCCCTAATAATCCTCACTTAATCCATACTGCTTATATTTGCAAAGTGGTTTTGGCGCTTCAGCACTCTCAGCTTCTTCCCATATGAAAGACGCTTCAATAAATCTGTGTCATGAAAGAAGTGATAGCTTCTCTTGTGGCAAGGTAAAGTTCAGAGGAGGTTATTAGGAAGCTGCTCACCCCCATCTGTCATGATGTAATATTATTGAAGTCCTGTTTCTGAAGATCCAGGACAACCACCACACTTGAGAAGCAACACAGCAGGTGCTTTTTACTACAGACTTCTTACCAGAAATCTTGAGCATCAGCAATCCTGTGCTGATGTGAAGGATAAAAGAGCAATGAGTATTTCTGGTACTGAAGGTAGCTGATACCTGATTTTTGTGCTATGTGGATTTGACTGGTTGCCTACCATTACTGGTATGCTAGATATTAAGATTTGTACTCTCCGTTAGCTTACTGGGACATTGGTCCTAAGACTGCAGCCCTTGGAATAATCAAACATCACTACGCCTGTGTTGAGGGATCAGCACTTTTACTAGAGTATGAGGTAGGGGCAAGCCAAGTGTCTCTCTCATCTAATGCAGGAAGTAATTGTGCAGAAAACTGTCTCCATCAGAAAAAAAAGAGTAAAGCAGGTCTCAGCCAGAAAAAAGCTGCCAAACATGGTCACCAGTCTTCAGTGCAAACAGCAGGTAGAACAGTTTCTGAGATCATTATGCTGCAGGCTCAACACAGCACCAATGAGGAACTGAGAGCTTCTGAAACAAAGGAAAATTACACAAACTAAATTCTCTAAACTAAGGAAATTTATAAATGTGCTGAAGTAATTTCTCTTTAATCTCTGTGGTGATGGAGAAACTATGAAAACAGGCAATGTTTTCCTTTAGGTAGAATTAACTACAATATTTAGATGTCTCCTTCTGATTATGAAGTAAATTAACGTTACTTTAGAAGACAAGTTCATTAGCACAAGCACTGTATCCAGCAAGTTAGAAGGACCAGCTCAGAAAAAACATTATTAACTTCAAATCTGAGTTTTCAAATTTCTTCCATTACTTTTACTATTTCTTCCAATGCATTGACTAAATAAAACCAGAGAAAAGTAAGCCTAAGTCAAACGAATCTAACCCACTGTCCAATACCTACCACTATATGTCACCCAGCTGGGATGTTGTAATACCCTGGTATACCAGTCTAGGTCTCCACTTGACTCAGAGCTGCAAATGCTATACATCTTTTTCTTTTATCCAGTTGTGATTTATAGTTTTTACACAAAATTCACCCCCCCATTCCCTCCCAAAGAGCTCAAAATTAAAGAAATGAAGTAAAAAACTTGTTTAAAAGGAAGTTTATAACTATGATTGGCTGTAATAAATCAAATAATCATAGAATAGTTTGGGTTGGAAGGAACCCTTAAAGGTCATCTAGTCCAACCCCCCTGCAGTGAGCAGGGACATCTTCAACTAGATCAGGTTGTTCAGAGCCCCTGTCCAACCTGACCTTGAATGTTGCCAGGGATGGGGCATCTGCCACCTCTCTGGGCAACCTGTGCCAGTGTTCCATCAGCCTCATTGTGAAACATTTCTTCCTTAGATCTAGTCAAAATCTACCCTCTTTTAGTTTAAAATTGTTACCCCTGGTCCTGTTGCTACAGGCCCTGCTAAAAAGTCTGTCCCCATCTTTCTTACAGGCCCCCTTAATTCACAACATTGTCTTAACTACCACCAACAGTACAACCTGCCTAAAGGTGAGCAGTCAGCAATGCACTTCACTCCTGTATCAGCAAGTGTGCGTAAAAAAAGTCATGCCCCTTTCATACAATTATTTCCTTGAATTTTCTTTTGCTTTGAACTGTGGGTGCTGATACAGATATAATGAAGGTGGTAACTGCAGAATTTATCAAGCACTGAAAAGCAAGACCTTGCAAGGTTTTAAACTCACTTCACACATAATTAACAGTCAGCTAGAATAAAGGAGAAAAGTACTAGAATAACGGATGATTTGTTATATTATTAAATGAATACAACTATACAGGACAAATGTACAAAAAAAAACATCCCTCCGATAAAAAATGTCAGTTATATTTTGCTATCTTCAGTGAGTCATAAAAAGCAGAAATCAAAGCATATGACCTTCAAATCTGTTTTCTTTCTGGTGTTTAATTCTTGTATCACAATACGCTACAATTAGTTGGGCGAGGTCTTTGGTTTCAAGCGCCCTTTAGCCTTGTGCTTTTGTTAATCACTCCCACATAGATCGAATTCTTGTTAGTCTGCCAAATGTAGTAATTCTAGAATGGCACATTTCATACATGAAATCACTGTAAATGCCCATAATGTCAACGCCAGACTTTTTTTTTTCCAACTCATGCGACATACATGTTTTTCCCCATGTGTATTTCACTAAGATATTCCTTTAGAATTTCTCTAACATCAAAGCACTGAAAAGATAAAACGTATCTCCATGGCAACACAATCTTGTTAGCATAGTCTGAATGTAAAAAAAGAGGGAAAACAATTATTAATTCCCAAACAGTACTAATTTCTCTAATGGGTCTTTCCAAGGAGATAAATGGAAATTTATAGCCTTTTCCAGGGAAAAGTACTAAAGAAAAGTAGACAAATTTGTTCAGAGTTAATTAAAACGTGAATTTTAGATATGACTGAGTAGCATACTGTGCAACCCTCACACAGTCTAGATATTTTACAAGCTCTGACCTTATCCAGTATGAGGTTTTATTACAACTATTTTCCCTCGTCACATCACATCACTGACGATATCCTTTATTATGCAATTCTGCCATATGTTCAATATCCTACCTGTGCACTTCAGCTACAGAGCACCCTCTGAAAGCTGCCCTAAAAAAGGCCCACTTCTTTGGAACTAAGAAGTTGCCCATTAATTTTGAAAAATTGAAAATAAGTTGCTGATCCCTAGCAAGCTGGCTGGTGATCTGTCTGTTATTTGGAATCACTGCAGTTCACAGCCAGAACATATTAACTGTGTTATTATTTAGATTCACTTTATTCCTTCCCTTGCTACACCATGCAAAACATACACATAAACTAAGTGATAAACTCAAACTGAGACAGAGCTAATGTTTTACCTTTGCACAGACTGAAATGCAAAATTATTTTTTTGTTCCTAGTTCACTCTGTGGGTAATGCCAGCTTTATTCAGAAAAGCATACCTGAGTAGCACAAAGGAAGGACAGCTCTATTGCCTATCCTCATTGCTGCACACACCAGGCTAAGGAACCCAGGAAGGAAGGAGAAAAAAAATGCACCTTTCCTGACAGCAATCAAGCAATTGGTTGCAAAAATCTGCTAGGCAGCACAGCACAGCCAAGGAACGTGGCACAGGAAGCAAAGTGCCTACAGCATGACCATGAAGATGGATTAGAGAACTGAGAGGAGAACAGGTCTTGCCTGCAGCAGGGGACATGTTCTCTGAAGTGACAAGGTGAGGTTGCTTCCCAAGGGTCCTACAGGAAATTCATGCAATCCATAATGTCTCTGCCTGGCTGGACAGAAGACTGACAGGAAAGGAGCCACGCTGTACAGTAGGCAGGGTTAATTTATTTTCTTACTCCACCAAACCAAAGTTCCATCTATTTACAGAGCCACCTTACTCTAACTTAGAAGTTTAATAAAACCTACTTTAAAGATTAGGAGCTTTTTTTATTTTTTGGCATTAAGGAATAGACTGGGAACTCACATTTTAAAGCTCCAGCTAATTTGGAGTCTCAGCAAAAGCACATAAAAACATAGGCTTCTAGTGCAAAATGGTAGTGTAAATAAATCATATATATGCTGGTGACTACATAAATTACTGAAAATCAGCAAATAAACAGATTAAGGTGAATAATGCATTAAATTGCTCACTTGTGGCAAATATAAATCAGATTTTTCATTTGTATATTAATAAATTGCCAAGCTTCCTCAACCTATGGCACAGTAAAAATAAAAGATCATGAAGTCTGACCTGGAAAAAAATTCTTGCTTGTGATATCAAACAAGTGCATCAAGAAGATGTTTCTTCATTTTACAAGTTCACTAAACAGCTGAACAGCTAAATTCATATGTATTTATTCTACTGCAAGAAATTCAGGAGTCTCTCTAGATATGTCTAAACTTTAGGTTAAGAAATCATAAATGTTTCAAAACTTGCTATCAGCATAGCTGCGTAATACTCAAGGTCATTCACATTGAAGTTAATAAAACTGTTTTGTTCTAGTCTTTTTAAAAGCTAACTGATACGGTAAATTTTGCCCAAGGTTCATCACCAGTGTATCACTAGGACTTCTAATCTACAGGTGAATGTTTAAGAAACAATTAAAAACCACTAAGTAGAAAAATAAGAAATAAGCTCTTTAAAGTCCACATCTGTAATCAGGAAAACAACATGATACAGTTACTTTTGTTACTTCTGACATACGATCACAAAAGTATTCTTACATAATCTCAGTGAAGATACTCCTTTCTGCAAAAACTTACTTAACTGAGGATCAAAATCAAAAGAACACTACAACAAACATTTTGATTTCTAACTTCCGTCTCTGGGTTGGATGTCCTCTTGAACTTCGTCATCAAGTTTGATATTTTGGCCCATTTAACAGAAAACTGTCGGTCTACAGCTGTGATAGGGCAAATCATATTATCATATAAAATATATGCTTTGGATAAGTGTCTTACAGTCATTATACATTCTAACACATTCCAGACTAATTTTTCTTTTCTTTTGTGTTTTTTTTGTTGTTGTTGTTGTTGTTGGTTGGTTGGGGGTGGGGGGGGTGGGGGGTTTGGGGGTTTTTTTGGTTTTTTTTGTTTTTTTAAATCAGTAGTATCTATTATAGCCATAAAAGTCATCCCACAAGTCCTCAAACCTCTAAGCAAAAATTCTAAAGGGGGCATCTACTCTAAACACCCATTCCGTTCCTTTGCCAGAAGTGATCCAAACGTTGCTTGACTCGTATTAGCAGGGCAGAAGCACATGCCACAGAACATACAATTGGATTAGAAGAATTACACTGTGGAGTCACTCCAGAAAAATAAATTTGTTTTTCTTCATTCACCTATCTGTCCACATTTCACTAGAGACAGCTACACAAGTCATCCAGATCAGAAAAGCCTAAAAGGCCTGCATATTATCTACTCACTTCTATCTGGTATAACAGCTTCTGCTAACACCAGTGAGATGACACAAGCCTTCAATCTTTGCAAGCTGCCACTTTACCACAAAGTGATTGCTGTCATATGGCTCCACAGCATTTACATTTATTTGAAGCACTTAATCACTATGTTTGAAGTGGTCATCAAGACAGCTAGTATTACCTTTTGTAGACAAATATATTTAAACCAAAGTACACAATACCACATATCCTAATTTATATCTTCTAAGTCTGAACCTTGACAAATACGAGACCAAACCCAGCAGTCAATATACAGTCAACATGGAATTTCCCACTCAAGGGCTATGACTGAAATTACCAGAAGCCTACAACATTAGTTGCAACTCACACACTTAATAGATAAGCTGTTATTCACACAGGGAAATTTGCTGTACACTGCAAAGATATTTTGACATAATTTCTTTGGATCAAATATTTGCAGGTAAAGAGACAATAAATACCCCACAAACAACAGGTTTTTTAGAGCTTAATACATACAAGGCCACAGTCCCCAAACCTCACTGAACATGCAAGTAGACTAAAAATTAATTACTGTCGAAAAGATGACAAGACCTTGAATCATGTCGGATATACACTAGTTATTACAATGGAGAATGTTACTTACTGGACAACATCAGATTTTTGTCCCATTCCAAAACTTCCACTGAATACCAGGTTATGTTTTTAAAGATTTAGCAATGAGAAGAACAGATGAGGTTTAAATTTTTTTTCAGTATTTTTGACAAAGGAAGAATAAGGAGAAAGAACAGGTATCTCAAGAAATCATGGGTGCAATACAGTAAGAATTATTTTAAAAGCTTGCTCTTGGAAGTTACTGACTGATTCTAATTATCGGGGAGACAACAGTATGCTTTTACTAACTTGCAAGACTTACAAATCTTTATCTCTAAAATCCATATTAGAGTATTTACTTAACATTAGACAGAAGAAAAACTTCGTTTGACAAGAAACACACATTATAAACAATTCAAGACAGAAAACAGGCTTCAGTTCAAGACAATTCAAGCTGAGTTACAAGTAAAGCAACACATAAAATGTTAGTTTTACACTAATTTTTCAATCCACTTTTTTTTTTTTAAACTTACCAACTCTGTACTAGCCCAACTGAAGGTCTGTTAAGTAAGTTATCAGGCAACAAATTGACTTCTCTCATGGTGTTAGCTAGTCGCACAGGAAGTTCTTTCCGCAGAAACATGTATGAAGTCTTCTCACATGCATTGTCACGACCTGTTAGAAGGAAGGAAAAAAAACAGTCCATTGCAGCAGATCAAATTTTAGACTTCACAGTGCTAGAAGAAAAAAAAAAAATCACTTCTGGAAGTAAAAACAGTTTAAAAGTAATTTCTTTCAGTACCCATCTTCACTTCCCTCCCACTCCCAAGACACACATTATACTTTTACCTTCCTAGAGCTTAACCCCTTTTATCTGACATTCTTCCTCATTTCACATCATCTCATCCTCTCTCCTATAAATAAAAAAGATCTCTCATCCTCTAAATAAAAATCAAATACTAAAAACTTGATATTAGCTGGAAATAAGACCTCAAAATACTAGTTTTTATCAGTGTGACTTTTCTACTAAAGTGAGCTTTTAAAAAGTGTGTGCCACACACACAATGGAGCTAAGAAGTGAAAGAAGTGAAAACAAAGGGACAAAACAGAATGGCAACAGCTAGCTGGTGTTGCATGTCTCAATCAAAGCTCTTCAAACCTACTAAGTAGTTAAACATTTCAACAGCACCTGGAAAGACCAGCAAAGGTCATCACCCCTCCTAGGACAAGTTGCTCACTAGCCACCCGGAAGCAAAGTGCAGTACTCATCACCACACCTCAATTTGGAAAAGCTGTAGCTGAGATTATCTTGGACTTTCACTTTTAAAACAAATTTTTATCAATCACAATATTTTGAAAATAAAATAAAATAAAAACCCAAACAGTCAGAAAGCAAATAAGAGGGATCCAGCAAAATAACAATACTTTGCTGCAGACCTAGCTGGAGCAGTGATTATTCTCTGGAGCCACTCTACATGAACCAGAAGACTGACATGACTAATAGCATTCTTAAGCTAAACCAGTTACTGGCAATACCTATAAAACTTTAACTATAAATATTTGAAAGTATGAGATGTTAAGACTCTTGCCCAAATAGTTCAGATGGAAGATCAGACCTGACTTGACATACTTGTTTCTATTTTGCACATTTCACAAGTCGGGGAACTCCGCACCATAACCAATTTCTGAAGAGTCCGGGTAAATTAAAAGAAAAACATCCATGTTTTACTCGTAATGAACAGTCAGTATTCTGCCTTCATCTAAAAAGACAGCAAATGTCTTTTGTGATGATAACCAGTACAACTGCCTGCAAAATTTGTGAGTGAAGGCATAATACAAGAGCTAAATTATGTTCAAGCAAACCAGAAAGTGTTAAAAGCACTACTAGGCACATAATCACTGAGATTTGCAATTTGAAAGACTCAAGTACAATGCAGCCAGCACAATCAAGGTGATACTTTTTAAGACAGTCCCATTATAATCAGCTGAACAGCAGAGTTTTCACCTTCTTTGCATAGGTAACATGCATTGATGGATTAGTTCCCAAACCATAACACCAGCTTGGGGGAATATGCAGGAAGGATTAGTTTCCCTTTCTTCTTGTTCATTTAGGTATCATCAATCAGTGGATCATTAAATCTATTACTGTCAGCAATTCTATTATTATTCTTCCAGCAAACATTTGCACCTATTTTACTTATTTGCATTTTCACATCTTCAATTACAAATACACACATCCTGTCAAAATTAGACAAAGGAAACAAGACATTACATTATTGTTTTCTGTGAAAGCCAGTAATGTTTTTGGAGTTCAATCCTTCAACTAAGTCAGATACCAATTCACCTACAATAGAGAATAGAGCCACCTGTTTGCTCACAAGTCATTCTACATAGTAGGTCCTTAGGAAGATGGCTGGACAGCAGGAGAGACTCTCTGACTAGCTCACACTACAACTTCTGGGCTGGAAAAACCCTCAGGAAGAACAAAGACAACAACTGATTCTTCCCAAGAGTGACTGAGAGCAAGTTTACTTATTTTCTCGGCAATAAAAAGCAAAAGAGAGGAAAGACAGCCGAGACAGAGAATGAGGAAACGGTGAACAGAACCCACAGCCTGTGGGAGTCTGTGAAAGGGCATGGGGGCCCTTCACAGACACAGTCCCCAGGTTTGCGCAAGGCAGACAACAAAAGCTGCTAGACTGGAAAGCAGGACTGGCAGAAGAGACCCACTTCCTCTCCTCTCATCAGTAAGGGCACATCTCTACTCAGTCTGTCTCACACCAGTAGTTCTAAACTGTCTTTTTAAGGAGTTGCCGTGCTGTAATGTACAGCTATGTTTTAGGTACAGAGCCCTTCAGGGTCCCTTTGCATGATCAGGGCGGGAAAAGGAAAAGAAGTTTTGTTTCAAGCCTAACTTGAAGGCTTGACTCACCATAACTTCAGTACATCTTTTTGGTTTGGGGCACGCAGTCAGAATATCAGCTGCTTAGCTGTATGCCATTTATCCAAGAGCCTCCAGAGAGCTGCTTTGGCTTCTAGCGTAAGGTCAGTTATCTGCTTGCCAAACAGCACGTGCAGGGGAGGAGAAAATGACTGTTCACCAGGATCAGTAATAATTAGCCATTCTTCAGCTTTTGAAGCAAAAAGCACACGGTGTCCTAACAGTTGCTCCTTGGCTGCTGTTCCTCACCGCAACACCTGTACAGCCACATTCGTCAAAAAGAGGGACATTCTACTAAGTACAAAAAATAAAAGCTGAGTCTGTAAGTCGAGTATTTTCTTAATACAATTTATTATGCACAAGTCCAAAGTGAAAGTGAAACTTCGAAAGAATCTCTCCTTGATTTATACTGCAGCCCCCAATAAGTTACTCAATAATACAAATACGACGTGCTTACCTTTGTATGAATTCAAACAGAAGAAAGAATACAGTAATTCTACACCTTAGTGTTGACCACACTGCACTAGGAATGAAGGACTGTGATTAGCTTTATTTCCAGAAACAAGGGTTGCTGTGTCAGACAGTTGTTTAATTATGGTCCACTGAAGACCTACAGTAGCAGCAGACTTCAAGGCAGAATGTAATGACACAGAAGTATAATGCTAACACAGCAATATAAAATACTAGGAGTACAGCTTTTGTTATAAATTACTAACAGGAGTCCCACTGCTTTTATAACCTGAAGCAACACACTGCAAATACAGCTTTTATCTTGTGAAATGACATGAAATTAACATTCATTTTTAACTCTGAGGAGTTGTGATTTTTTTGCCTATAAATCACTGAATGAACTACAGGAATACTGTGGAAGGGGCTGCTCAGAAGGTGCAATGTGAAGATCACTGGCATAAAGAAACAGCTTAACCTACATTTTTTATGTGTAAATTTACTGCCTGGAGTAGTTCTACAGACATCAATGCAACTTCTGTTTAAATGCTGTACATAATTTTCTTGCAGAGACAGGATATAAATAGGAAAAGCATTCAAGAGTAAGAGAGTAGGACAAGGGGTAACAATTTTAAACTAAAAGAGCGTAGATTTAGACTAGATACAAGGATGAAATTTTTCACAATGAGGGTGGTGAAACCCTGGCACAGGTTGCCCAGAGAGCTGGTAGATGCCCCATCCCTGGCAACATTCAAGGTCAGGTTGGACGGGGCTTTGAACAACCTGACCTAGTTGGAGATGTCCCTGCTCATTGCAGGGGGGTTGGACTAGATGACCTTTAAAAGGTCCTTCCAACCCAAACTATTCCATTTTTCTATGAAACAAAAAAATGCAGGGTCCATCTCAGAACAGCCATCCTGCCATCAATGTCCAGCAACAGACTGAGCTCCAAGGTGGGGAAGTAGGACCTCACTGTTCAACTAGTGACAAAACAGAATCTACACTGCTAGAGACAGAAGAGTTTCTAATAAGATTATCCATACAACATTCTCACCTTGATACTAGACCTATGGAAAGACCTTTGCCTTCACTTTTACTGTCCACTACTCCATTATTTAACTGTTAGTGATTAATTAGGGTTCTTTTCCGTCTTGCCTTCTTTCTATCTATGTTTTTCTAAGTAAAATGAAATGTTGACGTTAAAAACAGCTAATTCAAAGACTTTTTCAAAGTTTTAGATTCAACTTTCTCTGAATGTTGGATGCGCTTCCATTAAAATGTTACATCTTTAATAACTAAAAATTTATGCATAAATTTTCTGTTCATGCTGAGATTGAGTTATTTCAATGTAGGACAAGGTTATCATTTCATCCTAAAGAGTGTTCCGATACAAATATATACACACATTTTCTTTAAATGAAGACTTACCTGTTGAGGTAGCATAGCATTTTCTACAGATACATGATGCACCTCTGCTTATTTGTCAAATACTTAAATTTAGATTTCAAGCACTAGTAACAAATCAGCACAACAGAATTGTTCAACTTGTGGTCTTACTGCTTAAAAGTAAAGCATTTGAGAAGATTTTAAAGCAGGTGGGGGTTTTGTTTTGGTTTGGTTTTTTTAAGATTTTAAAGCAGATATAAGTTTTGGAGTGATATTTCAAGATAGTGAAAATCTTCTGCAAGTCAGAAGTTACGGAGATTTTCATTTTGAGAAGAACAGCTAAAAATTTATTTCCTTAAACTGGCAGCTGCATAGGTTGCCAATGTCAGTACCTGATTTGTGGATCAGCCCACATGCTACGCTATACTATGAAAGAAACACCAAATGAAGCAGGAGTTTGAAGTTCCCAATGCCATGTATCAGAGATTAGCAACACCAGAAAGGAGAGAATGCCCAAGAAACCAAAGCACCTGTTAGTCTTGGATCCTCTACAGCTTACCAAAAATCCTGAATCCTCTTTCTTGAATTGACTGTTTCTAGCTACACATCTGTTGGAAATGTTTCATTAAGCTGTGTAACAGATCACCCTTCAATATCTTGCTACTTGTGAGAACACAGACCAACAGTCCAAGTCTTCAGATCCTTTCAAAAGCCAACAGAATTTCACTGCATATTTTAGGTAGTCCTGAACATATTAATATAAAAAACAAAAATGAAGGAAAATACACACTTGTGGAGATACATAAATCCACCAGGAATAATTGTTCTCATCTCAAACTTCTGCACTGTTAAAGATTCTGATTTCTGAGGTACGTAAGCTGGTAGACACCTAAGTG